GGGCAATTAATTTACATGCAAATCGTGCCGAAAGTTTGCTCCCCACCCGCGTGACACTCAGCTCGGCTGTGCTTTTAAGCCTCCGGATTCCGGCATACGGAGCACGGAGCGCGGAGCGCGCAGCTTGGAACCCAGAGCCCGGAACACGGATCCAATCCGGATCCAGTCCCAAAGCCGCGACTCACTCACCCATCCACACACCCACAGACAAACACTTGATTAGAGCTCGAGGCGGTGCTCAGGTCGCCCGCTGTGCGCCGCCTGCTTGAAACCATATGGCACCGAGGAGTACGACCCTTTTGGGGCATCTCCACGGACGTCGACAGGTTGCCGCATCGTTAGAGAGACCGCTCCCGGACGCAAGTCCTTTATTGTCCTTGTCTGTCTGATTGTCCTGCCGTCTGTGCGCGCCTAACAAATTGCAGAATTTTTCGTGTTGATTTATCGCACAAGAGCAGCGGCGGCAACAATAAAAATAACAACAGCAGGGCGAGCGCACATTAAACATTCAGTAATGAGTTTAAAGTTTTAAATGGAATTTTTGATTATAAGCAGCCAACAACAAAGGACGCGGCAGACAGCAAAGAGCTATGCGTATAGCAATTTGAGCCCACTTTAGGCGTAATTGCGAACGGAGCGACTTGAGCGGGCGCCAATCACAGTATTTCTGCATTATTCCTAGCATAATAACTGGCCCATGAATGCGGGATTAGATGCATAGGGAACTCACTAACAGGCGCAGTTCGTAGCCTACTTTTCCACCCCAATGGGTGGATGGGTGGATCCATCATAACATCCCTTCGCTGACGACTGCGGCAGCAACCCCACCAAATCTGTAGAAATCCCGGCACTTTGTTCAAACACATAAGCCCAGATCTGCGTCTCCATCTTTCGCTCGCCCGGAACCTGCACGGGTTTTCCTTTCAATTTGGGCCAGGACACAGTGGAACGCGAGGCCGTTAAACGCTTTAAAATCAACATCAACACCGATGACGACGACAGGGGCAATAAAGTCGACCCAAAAATTGCTTCCTGTGCACATAAAACTCAGTCGGGGCCAGAAAACAAGCTAAAATACCTATACACACATTCGGCGAAACTGTTGAGCCTCGCAAGCAAACGCGGTAAAAGTAAACGAAACACTTTGCCGCCCATCCCCGCAGTTTCCCAGCCCTCTTAATACTTAAATGCAAACGTGTAAATTATGTGATTTTTCCCCGGCGGCCATGTTTGTTTGCAAACTCCATTACGAACATGGCGGGGCTCCACTTCCCGCACCTGTTCGCTCACCTGTTTGTTCCAAGCAATCGTCGCGCTTTGCCATTCAAATGCTCGGCGCAACAAAAAATACAGAGCCCCATACCCCTGGCTACCCCTTTATGTGCCTTTATGTGTTTTTCATGTACTTTTATTTGATTGTCGCACGCTTTGGCGCCCCAGAACGGGAGCAGAAACGGACGGGGAACTGGGGCTTGGCATCCCCATTTAATGGCAATGTTTTTTAGTGCTCAAAGTATTAGCAAATGTTCATTAACGGCTAAATTTGCTGTAGCCAGGTAGCCAGGGCCGAGCCAGTTTGCTGGACTCCCGAAAAGGCAATTACTCAAAAAGTACTTAACACACAATTGTTGCGTGCACCCTCGGGATGGGAGTTTGGCCAAAATGCCTAAGAAAGCACTGCTTGCGCATTGAATCTCAATTGGATTTCGTTCTCAGGGGACCGGGTTCGTAAGTTCACCAGGCGCCTCGGTCTGCAAACTGTGCGAAAATTTCGCTACCAGGTATCATTCGTCGAAAGGCAGCGGCTCGCTATTTGAGGCAATGTTCCTCCCTTAAAACAGGGTATCCCAGGGTCGAGCACTGTGCCACACGATCCAAGGATCCCTACTACAAATTTCCATCTTCAGGCGCACTGAGAGGCCAGTAGGGTGAAAACCAGCCGCCTGGAAAGCCAATTAAAATGAAATCAAGCCAGCCACTCCCACCAGCCCCATTCACTTTTGGCCTGCTTTCGCTCTGCCAACTTAGGGAGTTTATTGGACTACGACACCTTGGAGCTCACACACGAGCGGCGGGCGGGGATGTATATAAATTTGTAATTTTAATATTATTAAAAATGTTAAATTGCACGCAGCATAAATCACATTTCTCCTGCACTCCCCCGGGTGGTGGCGCCAGCTTGTTGCCGTACTTTTGTGGCCTGGAGGGGTTGACACCAACAGAAACGAAACACACAACACATTACACCATCGACTGCCACCATTACTGCCAGCTGCGCTTGCCACACTATTTGTATTTTTATTGTTCTCGTTGTAACTGGGCGGCTAAAATATCGCCAATCTTGCCACCACCGCGCTCGATGGCGGCTGTGCTATTTTAATTTAAGCGATTTACTCTCGGGTTCATAAAACGACCGCAGGCTTAATCCCCATTTTGCATAAAATGTCAGTGCAATAAAACGGAATGAAATTAATAAACCCAAATTTCATGTCCCAACCCATTAAAGTGTGTAGCTGGCCGAGAAGCAGTTGCAATTCCCAAGCGCCGACCACTTCAAAGCTCCAGGGGGTTAGAGATAATCACGGTGAACTTGTTCGTGAGTTTATTCGCATGCTGCAATCAGGCTGAAAGTTCGAGGATCTTGCAGGAGTGATTGGGTCGTTTGCGGGGCAGGAAGGAGCCAAAGCACACATATTTGTGATCTATTCCGCCGATAAATTGACCCCGTGTGGGCGGTGGATGCCATTTATCGTGGCATACTTTGTCGTGGCTGCCATTACGTTTAATGACCCCGCAGCACTTTCAACGCATCACCCACCAAGCGCTTCCGGAGAGTCGGAGCCCTCCTTTTTTTAAAAGCATCCAGGGCCCATTAACTTGTGTGAATTTATATCAGTCATTGGCCCGGCTCCTGCTCCTGCTCCTGCTCCTACTCCTACTCCTGCTGCTAACTGCTATTATGCGTTCGTTAATTATTCACACACAAATACTACTGCCACTGCTGCCATCCCTTTCGCCACACGTTTCGGTCATAAAAACTGCCCGCCCTGCCACGCCCCCTTAACGAGGCAGCCAGCTCTGGAGCTCGCCCAGAACTCTCGGCTGGATTGGGCATCTCCTCCCTGGGCATTTATGCACCGCCCCACTTTCCCGCTCACATATGGCGGGATCTTGACATTAAATAAATCTAACATTCCGTATACGCTTAGTGGGCATCTTTAATACTCATCCGCACATTTCCGCAAATGCGTGTATACTCGTATGCACAAAAAATGACGCAGACATTATTCACGCTATCATGGGGCACACACGAAGGGGCAGGGTCACAAGTATGGCCACGGGTCGAGAGGGGGCTGGGGAAACTATGCTCCTGTGGGCTTGCGGAATCCCGTCTGCCGTGGCTCGTTTTGCCAGAAATTACGATTTCTCGTGGAAGCGTACGTTTGTCACCCGCTCGCATTTAAGCCACATGTCGCCGGTAGTGTGAATGTGGTACCGAGTATGCCAATGATAGCAGCATGCGTGAAAGTGAGCGGCCCAGAAGATGACCGACTCATGCCGGGCAGAGAGCTGGGCTCAGTTGAACAAAAGATCGCTGCGTCGCCCCTTTCCCAGTCACCTAGTGGGGATGGGGATAGGGATTGGGATTGGGGTAGGGGGTTGGGCGCCAACCACGTTCAAAACGGCTGCCGTGTTACCGCTCCATGTCACATAATCGAATTATCATCATGGCATCAACAAATGATTTCAACTTACGCTGTCCTTTGGTCCTGGCGCTGTCACCACCGCGCTGGTCGTCCTGCGGCGTTGCCTTTTTTCACTTCACTTCATTCCGCCAGAGCTCATCCCTGGCCACCCTCCACGTCCACATCCACATCCCGAGGCTGGCGGGCAGACCTTTCTCCTCACTTTTTTAACATTTCTCCCGCTGGCTCCTGTTTTACCAATGTCATTGTCGGTGGTCATTTGCGCTGCTTACTTCATCCGTTCATTCGCCGTTCGTCCGTTTCATTTCGCCTCGTCCTTTTTTCAGCTTTGTTCCGTCTGCCGTCTCGTTTGTTTGAGGTTATGTTGAATGTCAGTTTGTTATCCTTGTGCAAATCCTTTTATACAAATGAAATTTGCGCCAAATGGCGATAAGCAAAGTACAATAGTGTGCGGATGGTCTGCACAAATCCCCCACTTCCCTCCAACCACCCGGAAACAGAGCTGGTCACCCAACTCCCAAGCTCGAACTGGGTTTAAATGGAAAATCGCACGCTCAAATGCCCGAATTGATTACTAACTGGTTTTCACTAATCCCATTCCATTGCAGACATCAACAAGGGATCACCCATCGACTTCAAGAGCGGCTCGGCCTGCTCCACACCCACGAAGGACACGCTGAAGGGCTACGAGCGGAGCACGCAGGGCTGCATGGGTCCAGTGCTGCCGCCTCGCAGCGTCATGAACGGACTGCCCGCGCACCACTACTCGGCGCCGATGAACTTCCGCAAGGACCTGGTCGCGCGCTGCTCCTCGCCATGGTTCGGCATTGGGTCGATCTCAGTGCTCCTCGCCTTCGTGGTCATGCTAATCCTGCTGACCACCACAGGCGTTATCAAATGGAACCAGTCGCCGCCCTGCTCTGTGCTAGTCGGCAACGAGGCCTCTGAGGTCACGGCTGCCAAGAGCACGAACACGGACCTCTCCAAGCTGCACAACTCCTCGGTGCGCGCGAAGAACGGACAAGGAATCGGACTGGCCCAGGGACAAGCGGGACTCGGAGCAGCAGGCGTGGGATCCGCAGGCGGCGGTGGATCTTCGGCGGCCACTGTGACGACGACCACCTCGAACAGCGGCACCGCCCAAGGACTGCAGTCGACGTCCGCCTCCGCGGAGGCCACGTCCTCGGCGGCCACGTCTTCCTCCCAATCCTCGCTAACGCCTTCGCTGTCCTCGTCCCTGGCGAATGCCAATAATGGAGGTAATTATGCACAACTTTTAATTATTTTTAAATGAGTTTTCGCAAGTTTGGCGCGGCAGCTACCGAGAGGAGAGGGGAAGCTGAGAGAACGATTGAGAGAAAGCCAAGACGTCGGAGTATTTAGCGCTTAGCGCCCTCTGGCGGAGACAAAAGTTGATTGTTTTTGTAGGATTTTTTAGCTCGAAGTTTGCGCCTGACAGATAGACGGCTACGCCGAATGGGGATTATGCGAATGCCGTTTTCATTATTCCTTCAAACGCCTTCCCATTTCTTTCAATTAAAGTTCAACTTGAGCGCGTTCTTTGGGATTTGTCGGGCTAAAATATTGCATTAATTACTTTTTTTGAATTGACAGCAAGGCACGCGGGCAGACAGCAGTTAAAATAAGGCAGCAGAAAGTTTTTAGTGTCACAGTGATACAACGCTTTCTCTCACCCTTCTCTCACCCGACCTCTTCGGCCTCCAAGCTAGGACCTCTTTAACCGGCTAAGAGCTAGACTAGGATTGAATTAAAAACACATTTAACGCTTAATTTAAGAAGGCAAGTGACAATGGGGGGAGTGACTATTCCAAAGGAGCGCCCTAACCACAAGGGCCCTCCTAAAGTACCATTCGATTCGTTCGCTTTGTTCACCTGTAGGAAGAGCGATGTCAACGCAGCTGTCAGTCAGTGGGGCAGGAGCAAAAGGAGGACGACATCGCCGAAGCTTAATCGAGGCGCAGGACGAAGACGATGTGGCTACAGATGGAACTTTCAGCGACTTAATTACAAGCGAAAGCCTCAACCAGCAGGCGGCCGAGAAGTATTTGGCAACTACCCCAGCCCAACGCTCGACCAAAACTTTGCACCGAATGGATGAAGTGTACGGTGCCCAAAGGAGCGAGGACACCACGGGCACCACGGACACCAGCTACGACTATGTCTATGAAGACGAAGTTGAGCCGGAGACCACCCCTTCGCCCACCCGTAGATCCAGGACGGGCCAACAATTTGGCAAATCATTAAACAACAATTTACGCAGCGCTGCTAAATCACTGGTCAACAAGAGGAGGAAATATGACCACGGAGCAGAGCAAGCGAAGCACGTTAGCCAGCTGGAGGAGGATGAGCAGGAGCTGGAGCTTCTCGAGGCGATCGGGATGGCAACGGAGCTGGCAACGGAGCTGGCGACGGAGGCGCAGACCAGCACACCGCCTGCTGTTATTGATGACGATAATCAAAGTGACAACGGCAGCTCAGGCCGAACGCAGGAGACGTCTGTAAGGAGTGACACCGATGACATGGTTGAAATCAACACCCCCCCACCAGAGCCAGCTCAAAGCTCCTTCGCCGCCGTCTCGCACCAGCCTGCCATGGAACATGATTTTCAAATCAAAGGGACCGATGCTGATGGCTTGCAGACGGAGAAACCTGCCACTGATGATATCAATAATGAGCGTGATTTAGCTGACAACTATGAGGTAGACAGTATGGAGCCGACCTCGCCAGGCACACCCCCACAAGGTATAAATCAAGCAGACATCCGCTGGAAGTCGAGCCGCGCCAGTGGTATAGAGTGGCGATTGAGTTCAGGCCCAAGAAATGTACAATTAATACGGGCTTTTATCGATAGCGACTTTTTAAACTAAATTCTAATGTATAAAATGTTTTTTATGAAAATGGAAAATCCACGCATTAAATGTAAGCATCATTTCTTGAGCCTGATTCCCAATTCTATGCCACTAGTGCCTGTTACTCATCCACTTTTTGGTATCAAGGTAAGGAAGGTCAACAAAATGGCAAGGAGTCACCACAATCAATTCAACCCGAATCGGATCGGATGATGAGTGATGCCTCGCACTATGAGGACATCGATATAGTCAAACTAGATGGATTGCCAGTTTCCCATGAAGAGGAGATCTACAAGACGGCAGAAAAGGAAAATATAGCACCGAGGAATGAACCATCTCAGCATATCGATAGGAGTGAAAACGAGGTACTGAAGGACCATCAGCCGGGTGACGAGGAACCACCCCAACTAGAGCCCCTGAAGCCGTATGTGAGTGAGCGAGTGGATCTTCCGGGCAAACGCATATTCCTGAACCTGACCATAGCCACAGACGAGGGCAGTGACTCCGTTTACACCTTGCACGTGGAAGTGCCCACGGGCGGAGGACCACACATCATCAAGGAGGTGCTGACCCACGACAAAGCGAATGCCCAGCACCAGGCAGACAGTTGTGTTCAGGAGCCACCGCCGCGCATGCCCGACTGTCCGTGCAGCTGTCTTCCGCCTGCGGCGCCCATCTATCTGGATGACACCGTTGACATCGACTCCATCGACTCTGCCCCACCAGCTCACACTGTTACGACGAGCACGATCTCGGCACCTACTGACCCCTTCCATAGCGAGGAGAAGCACGAGGAGGACGGGGCTAGAGATGAGGAGCTAACGGCTTCCTCGAGCAGAGCTACTAACCTTCCTAGCACTGAGATCGATAACCACATTGCCGCCTATACTGAACCCACTGTTGGTGCTGGTGGTGTACCGCTTGCATGCCCTGATGTGATGCCAGTACTGATACTGGAAGGTGAATTGTGCACAATGCATTTGTTGCTAACCTCCGCTTTTAGCGCTTGCTAACCAGCGTTTCATAACCCTACTAAGAGCTGTACAGCCTGCTAACTCCTAGTCTATGTAACTAAGCCAGTTTATTTCTCACAAGTCCTCATTTGTACAAATTATCGCAAAGCATCAAATATTGTATTGGCATCACATCAGCATCCAGCACCAGCCTGGTTTAATTCTGTATATTACTCGTGTTCCCATTTACTAACCTCGGGGAATCAGGGAAAACTCCATTGGGGGACTCCATTAGGATTAGGATAAGGACTAAGCCCTGTACAAAATCGTGTAGCACTAGCAAATCACAATATACCCGTACATATTCAATGACTAACCGGAATCTAATCCCGTTCGTATCTCTGTCACATTGCACTCTCGAATTGCCATCGCTTGCCGCCGCTATCGAATCAGGAGCCCGAACATTCCCCGCACGCAGTTTCCCACCGGACGGCACCACCTTTGGCCAGATTACCCTCGGCCAGAAGCTGACCAAGGAGATCCAGCCGTACAGCTACTGGAACATGCAGTTTTACCAGTCGGAACCGGCCTACGTAAAGTTTGACTACACGATTCCGAGGGGCGCCTCCATCGGCGTATACGGCCGACGCAACGCCCTGCCCACCCACACGCAGTACCACTTTAAGGAAGTGCTCAGTGGATTCAGTGCCAGCACACGAACGGCCCGGGCCGCTCACGTAAGTAGTCTGCATCCAGGTTGCCGCTCCTGATCGTTACTAACTCTAGTCACTCTTTTCATGCACCATTCATCCCTCACCCACTGCACCAATCACCAATCACCGCTCGATCGCTCGCTTGGCCTAATTCTGTGCAGCTGTCGATAACGCGGGAGGTGACACGCTATATGGAGCCGGGGCACTGGTTCGTCTCGCTCTACAACGACGACGGGGACGTGCAGGAGCTGACCTTCTACGCGGCCGTAGCCGAGGACATGACCCAAAACTGTCCCAACGGCTGCTCCGGCAACGGTCAGTGCCTGCTGGGACACTGCCAGTGCAACCCCGGCTTCGGGGGCGACGACTGCAGCGAAAGCGTGTGCCCAGTGCTGTGCTCCCAGCATGGCGAGTACACCAACGGGGAGTGCATCTGCAACCCGGGCTGGAAGGGCAAGGAGTGCTCCCTGCGTCACGACGAGTGCGAGGTGGCCGATTGCAGTGGGCACGGCCACTGTGTTAGTGGAAAATGCCAGTGCATGCGCGGCTACAAGGGCAAATTCTGCGAAGAAGGTAGCGCCAGGATATAGGATTCTTTGTCCAAATCCACCTTGCTCTTTCCCATCCCGACACTTTCTAACACTTTCGCTTTGTTTTCCCCAGTGGACTGTCCACACCCGAACTGCTCAGGCCATGGCTTCTGCGCCGACGGCACCTGCATCTGCAAGAAGGGCTGGAAGGGTCCTGACTGCGCCACCATGGACCAGGATGCGCTGCAGTGCCTCCCAGACTGTTCCGGCCACGGCACGTTCGACCTGGACACACAGACCTGTACCTGCGAGGCAAAGTGGAGTGGGGACGACTGCTCCAAGGAGCTCTGCGACTTGGACTGCGGCCAGCATGGACGTTGTGAAGGCGACGCTTGTGCATGCGATCCGGAATGGGGTGGCGAGTATTGCAACACCCGGTTGTGCGACGTCCGCTGTAACGAGCATGGCCAGTGCAAGAACGGCACTTGCCTGTGCGTTACTGGCTGGAACGGTAAGCACTGCACCATCGAGGGCTGTCCCAACAGCTGCGCCGGACATGGTCAGTGCCGTGTGAGCGGCGAGGGTCAATGGGAGTGCCGCTGCTATGAAGGCTGGGACGGACCAGACTGCGGCATCGCACTGGAGTTGAACTGTGGCGACAGCAAGGACAACGACAAGGGTGAGTAGCAGGTTCAGCGAGTTGATAAGCGGACGCTCTAACAGCAATTCTCGATCCTAGATGGCTTGGTTGATTGCGAGGATCCCGAGTGCTGTGCCAGCCACGTGTGCAAAACCTCCCAACTATGTGTTTCTGCCCCGAAGCCCATAGATGTGCTGCTCAGAAAGCAGCCGCCAGCTATAACTGCTTCCTTCTTTGAGCGGATGAAGTTCCTCATCGACGAGAGCAGCCTGCAGAACTACGCCAAGCTGGAAACCTTTAACGAGAGGTAGGTGCTTTGTGGTAGCCAGTTTGCCCTGGACAGTTTTTAGTTACCATTCGAAATCGAGGCCGCTGTGGCTGTGTATAGTTTCCAAAATTGGCGGACAAGCTAAAATCTTCTATTGTACAAAATTGACAGTCTAGTTGGTTATACTCGGTTATACATATACTACCGAAAAATAATAATCAAATAGTTTGCATAATTAATAATTTTCTATGTTTAAATATTTACTTTATCATTTTCGTGCCCTCGTCTAAAAAAAATCCCTCAAACACACCACATACCAAATATCCCATTAAAATCTTGTAAATAATAACCCTATATGTCCTTTGTTAAATCGAACTCAGACAGAAACAGTTAGCCCCTAAGTTAGCCCCTAAGTTTGAGTTAAGATATGCATACGAGTATGTTAAGCATCGGATTAGAATTCGGATTAGTTACTCTTAAGTTGCCCAGACACCGCGATTTCGGTGTGATCGAAACGGAGCTGAGGTTTAGGGTCCCCAAACGATCTGGAGACGCCAAATATCAACACACCCATTCTAGCTAACTAGACCATAGACAACCATGCTAATTCAATTATTTTCTCTCTGCTCTCTTTTCTTCTCCACACGCGCTCCCTAAACCGTGTTTAAAATAATACATTCCACCTACTACTAAATTACTCCTGTTCTACTCGATACTACCACTCACCACTACTACCACTTACTACGCACCTACTCACTACCATTTTACCCACATACGCGTCAAAAATTCCAAACGCTTTGCATTAACAACGATTGCTAAACGCTCTCGTTACTCGGTAATCGCTATTGTTGCCCATGCTCTTTGTTGCGCGATAACGAAAACAAATCATATACTAACAGCATTTTTTGGAATTATTTCAATGCAAGGTAAGCAAGCGAAAAGCGGTACTAAAATAATACTAAAACTACTACTCTACTATACTACTATACTACCATACTACTAATGATTCTCAATGGTTGTTTGGTACACTTTTGTATACTTTAAGTCTCGTTAACTTGGCTCCATTCGCAAATTATTTCGAAAACTTTACCATTATCGTTATCGTTATCGTTATCATTGCCGTTACAATTACAGTTACCATTGCCATTATCATTTCGTTCATAGTGTAGCTGTCCTTGTTTCCTTGAAACTTGAAACTCAGTTCGTTATTATTTTAAGTTCATTGCCCAAACTTATTATCCAGACAACCAGGCCAATACACATTGGGTTTTTAGTTTACCACGTAATAAATCTAAGCTATGGAAAACTCATTCTCCTACTCGTACTTAGGTCAATGCTAGGTCACAAACACGAGCCATAAATAACATACTATATATTGTTCAACTTGTAATACCTTTATGTGTTCAACAGAGTCTTATGTTCTGTGCGTGTGACTTCTTATTATTTGTACTTATTTATTGCTCAAGTAGTTACGAATCCTCAGTTTGATTGCTTGCTAGCCTAGCTAATCTATACCTAGACATACCCTAGAAGCCCCAATCCCTGCGAGACCCGACTAATCCATCTTCTCTGTCCTTTTAACAGTCGATCAGCGGTGATCAGAGGCCGCGTTGTTACTTCTCTGGGCATGGGCCTGGTGGGTGTGCGAGTGTCCACCACCACGCTTCTGGAGGGCTTCACCCTGACCCGAGATGACGGATGGTTCGACCTAATGGTGAACGGTGGCGGAGCCGTGACCCTGCAGTTCGGACGCGCACCTTTCCGGCCGCAGTCGCGCATCGTGCAAGTGCCATGGAACGAGGTCGTCATAATTGACTTGGTCGTCATGAGTATGTCCGAGGAAAAGGGATTGGCCGTGACTACGACGCACACCTGTTTCGCACACGACTACGACCTCATGAAGCCAGTGGTGCTGGCCTCATGGAAGCACGGATTCCAGGGAGCCTGTCCCGATCGTAGCGCCATTCTGGCTGAATCTCAGGTGATTCAGGAGTCGCTGCAGATCCCGGGAACGGGCCTGAACCTGGTGTACCACTCGTCGCGTGCCGCCGGCTACCTGTCCACCATTAAGCTGCAGCTAACGCCAGATGTGATTCCCGCATCGTTGCATCTAATCCATCTCCGCATAACAATCGAGGGAATACTGTTTGAGCGAATATTCGAGGCGGATCCTGGCATCAAGTTCACGTACGCCTGGAACCGACTCAACATCTACCGGCAGCGCGTCTATGGTGTGACCACAGCCGTGGTGAAGGTTGGCTACCAGTACACCGACTGCACTGACATTGTGTGGGACATTCAAACAACTAAGCTGAGCGGCCACGACATGTCCATCTCGGAAGTGGGCGGGTGGAACCTGGACATCCATCACCGCTACAACTTCCACGAGGGAATCCTGCAAAAGGGAGACGGCTCCAACATATATCTGCGCAATAAGCCGCGCATCATCCTGACCACGATGGGCGATGGCCACCAGCGGCCGCTGGAGTGTCCCGACTGCGACGGCCTGGCGACAAAGCAGCGACTCCTGGCACCCGTCGCCCTGGCCGCCGCTCCAGACGGTAGTCTTTTCGTCGGTGATTTCAACTACATCCGCCGCATCATGACCGACGGCAGCATCCGCACTGTGGTCAAGCTGAACGCGACCCGTGTCTCCTACCGCTACCATATGGCCCTCAGTCCGCTCGACGGAACGCTCTATGTTTCGGATCCGGAGTCACACCAAATCATTCGGGTGCGGGACACCAGCGACTACTCGCAGCCGGAACTGAACTGGGAAGCGTTTGTGGGCTCCGGGGAGCGCTGTCTGCCTGGTGACGAAGCGCACTGCGGCGACGGGGCACTGGCCAAGGATGCGAAATTGGCTTATCCGAAAGGCATTGCGATTTCGAGCGACAACATCATGTACTTTGCCGACGGAACTAATATCCGAATGGTGGACCGGGATGGAATCGTAAGCACTCTGATCGGCAACCACATGCACAAGTCCCACTGGAAGCCCATTCCCTGCGAGGGAACCCTGAAGTTGGAGGAGATGCATCTTCGCTGGCCCACTGAGCTAGCAGTCTCCCCGATGGACAACACGTTGCACATAATCGACGACCACATGATCTTGCGCATGACTCCAGACGGTCGTGTGCGCGTCATCTCCGGCCGGCCCCTGCATTGCGCCACAGCCTCCACTGCCTACGACACGGATCTGGCAACCCACGCCACCCTGGTGATGCCGCAGTCCATCGCGTTTGGCCCACTCGGTGAGCTGTACGTGGCGGAGAGCGACTCGCAACGAATTAACCGGGTGCGCGTGATCGGCACGGACGGAAGGATTGCTCCGTTTGCTGGTGCCGAATCTAAGTGCAACTGCCTGGAGCGCGGATGCGACTGCTTCGAGGCAGAGCACTACCTGGCCACCAGTGCCAAATTCAACACGATCGCCGCCCTGGCTGTCACACCCGATAGCCATGTGCACATCGCGGACCAGGCCAACTACCGTATCCGCTCCGTTATGTCGAGCATCCCGGAGGCAAGTCCGTCGCGGGAGTACGAGATCTATGCACCCGACATGCAGGAGATCTACATTTTCAACCGGTTCGGACAGCACGTGTCCACACGCAACATCTTGACCGGAGAGACGACCTACGTGTTCACCTACAACGTAAACACCTCCAATGGCAAGCTGAGCACCGTCACAGACGCGGCTGGCAACAAGGTGTTCCTGCTTCGGGATTACACCTCCCAGGTAAATTCGATCGAGAACACGAAGGGTCAGAAGTGCCGTCTGCGCATGACCAGAATGAAAATGCTTCACGAGTTGAGCACTCCGGACAACTACAATGTGACCTACGAATACCACGGCCCCACCGGTCTGCTGCGAACCAAGCTGGACTCCACCGGACGTTCCTACGTGTACAACTACGATGAGTTTGGCCGCCTCACTTCCGCAGTGACTCCCACCGGGCGTGTCATCGAGCTGAGCTTCGATCTGAGCGTAAAGGGAGCCCAGGTGAAGGTTTCGGAGAACGCCCAGAAGGAAATGTCTCTGCTGATCCAAGGTGCTACCGTTATTGTGCGCAATGGCGCGGCCGAGTCGCGCACTACCGTCGACATGGACGGCTCCACCACGAGCATCACGCCATGGGGCCACAACCTGCAGATGGAGGTGGCACCCTACACCATTCTGGCAGAGCAAAGTCCACTGCTTGGCGAGAGCTACCCGGTCCCAGCTAAGCAGCGCACCGAGATCGCTGGTGACCTGGCCAACAGATTTGAGTGGCGCTACTTCGTGCGCCGTCAGCAGCCACTGCAAGCGGGCAAGCAGAGCAAGGGACCGCCACGTCCCGTAACCGAAGTTGGACGCAAGCTGCGCGTGAACGGAGACAACGTGCTGACCTTGGAGTACGACCGCGAGACCCAGTCGGTGGTCGTCATGGTGGACGACAAGCAGGAGCTGCTTAACGTGACCTACGATCGCACTTCCCGCCCCATTAGCTTCCGACCGCAGTCCGGCGACTACGCGGATGTGGACTTGGAGTACGATCGATTCGGACGTCTGGTCAGTTGGAAGTGGGGTGTCCTGCAGGAAGCGTACTCCTTCGACCGCAATGGCCGTCTGAACGAGATCAAGTACGGCGATGGCTCGACAATGGTCTACGCCTTCAAGGACATGTTCGGCTCCTTACCACTGAAGGTGACTACGCCCAGACGATCCGACTATCTCCTGCAGTACGACGACGCGGGGGCCCTTCAGAGCCTGACTACACCTCGAGGCCATATCCACGCGTTCTCCCTGCAGACTTCTCTGGGCTTCTTCAAGTACCAGTACTATTCACCAATCAACCGACACCCCTTCGAAATTCTGTACAACGACGAGGGTCAGGTCTTGGCCAAGATCCACCCGCACCAATCCGGCAAGGTAAGTAAATCAAACAGAAATAGTACCAACTATAGGAGACTGTCCCATATCTATTGAAAAGCCTTTTAAAATCGTCATACTTGCTTAAGACAGATTGTAAAAAAAAAAAAAAAAAAAAAAAAAAAAAAAATATTATTTTAAATTAGCTTTGAATCTTAGCCAGAATCTTTGGCGAATAAAAATTAAATATTCCTAATATTTTCAGGTGGCATTCGTACATGACACCGCCGGACGACTGGAGACCATCCTCGCGGGACTATCCAGCACCCACTATACCTACCAGGATACAACCAGCCTAGTAAAGTCTGTGGAGGTGCAGGAGCCGGGCTTCGAGTTGCGCCGAGAGTTTAAATACCACGCCGGCATTCTGAAGGACGAGAAATTGCGCTTCGGCTCCAAGAACTCGCTGGCCTCTGCGCACTACAAGTACGCCTACGACGGAAACGCTCGACTCAGCGGCATCGAGATGGCCATCGACGACAAGGAGCTGCCAACCACGCGGTACAAGTACAGCCAAAACCTGGGACAACTGGAGGTCGTGCAGGATCTGAAGATCACGCGCAACGCCTTCAACCGAACAGTCATTCAGGACTCTGCCAAGCAGTTCTTCGCCATTGTGGACTACGACCAACACGGTCGGGTCAAGAGCGTGCTAATGAACGTGAAAAACATTGATGTGTTCCGCCTGGAGCTGGACTACGATCTCCGCAACCGCATCAAGTCGCAAAAGACGACATTCGGTAGGTCGACGGCATTCGATAAGATTAACTACAATGCCGACGGCCATGTGGTTGAGGTCCTGGGCACCAACAACTGGAAGTATCTGTTCGACGAGAACGGCAACACTGTTGGCGTGGTCGACCAGGGCGAGAAGTTCAATCTGGGCTACGACATCGGAGATCGAGTCATCAAGGTGGGCGATGTGGAGTTCAACAACTACGATGCCCGCGGCTTCGTAGTGAAGCGCGGCGAGCAGAAGTATCGGTACAACAACCGCGGTCAGTTGATTCACTCATTCGAAAGGGAACGGTTCCAGAGCTGGTACTACTACGACGACCGCAGCCGCCTGGTGGCCTGGCACGACAACAAGGGTAACACCACGCAGTACTACTACGCCAATCCGCGCACTCCCCATCTCGTGACCCACGTGCACTTCCCCAAGCTCAGCCGCACCATGAAGCTGTTCTACGATGACCGCGACATGCTAATCGCTCTGGAGTATGAGGAGCAGCGCTACTACGTGGCCACCGACCAGAATGGCTCGCCACTAGCCTTCTTTGATCAGAATGGCAGCATTGTCAAGGAAATGAAGCGAACGCCGTTCGGCCGAGTCATCAAGGACACTAAGCCGGAGTTCTTTGTGCCCATCGATTTCCACGGCGGACTGATCGACCCGCACACCAAGCTGGTGTACACCGAGCAGCGGCAGTACGACCCGCACGTGGGCCAGTGGATGACTCCGCTGTGGGAGACGCTCGCCACCGAGATGTCACACCCGACGGATGTGTTCATCTACCGCTACCACAACAACGACCCCATCAACCCGAATAAGCCGCAGAACTATATGATCGACCTGGATTCCTGGCTCCAGTTATTCGGCTATGATCTGAACAACATGCAAAGCAGCCGCTACACCAAGCTGGCCCAGTACACGCCGCAGGCCTCGATCAAGTCAAACACGTTGGCCCCTGACTTCGGCGTGATCTCCGGCCTGGAGTGTATCGTGGAAAAAACAAGCGAGAAGTTCAGTGACTTTGACTTTGTGCCCAAGCCGCTGCTGAAAATGGAGCCAAAGATGCGCAACTTGCTGCCGCGTGTCAGCTACCGACGTGGTGTGTTCGGCGAAGGCGTGCTCCTCTCTAGGATCGGCGGACGGGCGCTGGTTAGCGTTGTCGACGGATCAAACAGCGTGGTACAGGACGTGGTGAGCAGCGTGTTTAACAACTCGTACTTCCTGGACCTGCACTTCAGCATCCACGACCAAGACGTATTTTACTTCGTAAAGGACAATGTCCTCAAGCTGCGCGACGACAACGAGGAGCTGCGTCGCCTGGGCGGCATGTTCAACATATCAACGCATGAAATCAGCGATCACGGAGGCAGTGCCGCCAAGGAGTTGCGCCTGCACGGTCCCGACGCCGTTGTCATTATAAAATACGGCGTTGATCCCGAGCAGGAGCGCCACCGCATCCTAAAGCACGCCCACAAACGGGCAGTGGAGCGTGCTTGGGAATTGGAGAAGCAGCTGGTGGCCGCCGGCTTCCAAGGGCGTGGCGACTGGACCGAGGAGGAGAAGGAGGAGCTTGTCCAGCACGGCGACGTCGACGGCTGGAACGGAATCGATATCCACAGCATACACAAGTATCCGCAACTGGCCGACGACCCCGGCAACGTCGCTTTCCAGCGGGACGCGAAGCGGAAGCGACGCAAGACCGGCAGCAGCCATCGGAGTGCCTCCAACCGGCGCCAGCTCAAGTTCGGCGAGCTGAGTGCGTGAGTGGAGGCGTATAGAGAGAAGCTAGTGGTGGAGGCGGAGCCAGAGACAGAGCCCGAGGAGAGTGACACGACCGACGAGGAATATGGCGACCAGGAGGACTACCTAATAGCCGTGGGCAAAAAGGAGCCAAGGGACAGCAGTGAGGCACTGGACGAGCAGATTTTGTAATTAGGTGAAATGCGCAAACTATGCGACCACAACAAAAACAACCGAAACAACAGCACAACTCTCGATGACACAACACAAAATAAGACAAGATACAAAGGAAAAGCCAGCATTGAATACACTAATTAATACAAACTTTAATCATGCTTAAAGTTTAGTATTAGCCACAACGCAGCCCTCGAATAACCGAAGAAACACACAACACTGGAACAGAAATATGTATGTTGATGTTGAGTTTAGGCTTACAATAGGCGTATGTTTAGTCCATGTGTGTAATGTTTAATGTAATTTTTTGAATCAGAATCAGTGTCCCCACGGGCAAACAGCTTGCAGTGGCATTTTAGGTCAGGGTGGGTATTATTTAAATTGGTCCACCAACCGATTTAGGTCGAGACAGCATTGCATAGATCGAACCAATTAAAACGGAACAAGATCGTTTTTTTCGGTAATCGGAGTTTGGCCAAAACACAGCCCAACAAGCCAGTGGCACTGCAATGTCAAACGATGAGTATTACACAGCAAAATATGCTTACGATAAGTACAGATGTTAAACTACGAAATGAATAAATGTAAAAAGATTCAAGTTCTGCATAGTAGCTCCCTAGTCTTTGGTCCAAGCCTGGCCCACTCCAACACAGTCCACTCTCATATGGCAACAGAAATGTTGATCACCGCTTCTTAACCTACTTCTTCATTGCTCAGTGTATATACGAACGAAACTTCTCAAGCCTCTACTGACAAAAAGCGCGTAATTATCCTTTAATCGAACCCACTTTTTAGCGAAATAGGTCTCTAAGCCGAATGCTCGAATTTAAATTTACCAGACGCGTCTACCTAATTTGGATAGCCAAGAATCAAAACGAATTTCTACCAGTCCCCTTTAATGCAATACAATACTCTATCGACTCCTTTCACTCATTTTATGATGTTAACTGTTGAATTTATTCAAAGGAAAAACGCATTAAAAACTTTTTACAAATTGTGATATATATTTCTAAACATTTCATTTGACAACTTGAAGTGTAACGAAGAAAAACTCGAATTAACTCAAATCGAACCGAAAGTAATAGCAAACGCATGTACTTTACTCATTTTTGTAAACATAGTCTCTTACGATTAGTTTTATGCTGCAATATTTAGTTCTTACCGTTTGCCATGTTAATTATAAAAGCGTAATTTTTTGTAATGATCCCACCCGGGAATGTCGTCACATAGGGTTTAGTTTCTTTTAATTACTCTTTTTTTTAACACTCACAGCAAGATAAAATTTCTGTACTTCCTAAAATTTGGCTGAAATTTTGTCGGTATTTTGTGTTTGAAATTATTATTGAACTATTTATAATTAAAACTAAACTATTGACTATTGAAATATTACCTAGCATAAAATATAGTGCGCATATGGACTTGCGCGGAACTTAAACATACCCCTATAACCATAAAAACACACCTTGTATTATAAACACCCATACATACAACTAAACGTAGGCTTAAGAATTAGACTAAAGACAAAGCTCGTAAAAACAAAAAGGATAAGCACCTAACTAAAGTGAAAATAAGCGATTGATTCTGTTTTCTGTTTCATGTGAGAATAGATCAGAATATTACAGAAGATAACTGCGTAGTAATTAGCTAAAGTGTTAGTAATTTTATTAAATAAAATTATAAATGAAATATGGATAAACACTTCAAATCTAAATTAAGGTATGCATCATTATCTGCATTCGTGTATTCAAATTGTAAATCTTTCACTGTGTAAAGGGGTAGAAACGTTCAGTACTTAGCTCGTTACGCAGAATGAGATGTTACAAACTAACGAAAATTGTAAAAATCTGAAACCCGTATATGTATGTGTATGTAATAATATTAAGCAGCATTATATTAACCAAAAAGCATATAACAAAACAAAAAATTGAAATCAGCATAAAGAAAACTGCAATGCGAACAATTGTGACTGAAACAAGGAAAATATATAGATACCAAGCGGTTGCCGTTGTCGAGCTCGACTGTGCTTCAATCTCGTACATACCCCAGGTCCTCTGTTCTTAAAATACTTTGATCTGTAAATTTCGAGGATGGGGCAAAAGCTTAACCTACTTAATTAGTTGAGATCATGATTAGACCTATTAACTGACTGCAACGAAAATGGCGACACATTTAAAGGCAGCCAGTCCGTTGAGGCAGTTTGAGCATGCATAAATTGCGAACAATAATTGTATTTAATGTACGAAATTGTCTTTAAATTATACAGATACCGAGAGAAGTGCAGGGGGTATAGGCTATAAATTACAAATCGAATGCAGACAACAAAGGACAATTGTACACACAGAAATAATTATGGCAAGCCGATATACATACATGATAAAACATCCATATAAATATATATAACTAATAATATTACGAGTAAAAAGCGATTTCAATAAAAATGAAAATATAAAAAAGCCATCGTTGTATTATTTTATTTGGAACTTTAAAGCGAAAATGTAAGTGATGTGGTGTCATAATCGATGGAGTATGGGTTTATGGTAGGGATAATATTTTAAAGCAAGCTATCTTTGATCCATTAAAACTCTTGCTATATAGATAAACTGTAACGCTAAATCTAGAATATTAAAGAAATAGTAGAGCCCGGGGAAGAGATCAAAATCAAGAAAGCTATATATGGCTTGCAACTTTTTTGAAAAGTTGACAACATTTATTTAAGTTTCGATTCGTTTTCAATTAAATACCAATAGCACGGAGCTTAACATAAGGCGCGTCCCAAGGGATTCTCCGTAAAGATAGCATTTCCAGAAGGCTGGTTGATGAATTTGGAGTATGGAGCGGAGGGTAGTTCATAGCCTGCTGACTGTTTCAGTGCATCCTGGCTTCGAGCTAGAACAAGCAATTTTCCGCTAAGGTTTTTATCGATGGACTTCAGTTCGGTAACCTTTTTTTGGTGATCAACAACGTAAATATAAAAGTTGACTCCATATAAACCAAACAAATGCTCCAACTCGCTGCGAAGCGTAGGTAGGGAAATAATTTCCTTGCTAACGTTGTGCTGCAGAAATAAAGACGCTTTGCTGCTATTTCCAAATCGTGGCACCAGATCTTCGGCCAAGGATATATTCAACCACGGCAAGCTAGGAAGCTGTAATTCCTCAGTGGAACAAATCGTCAACTTTAAGGGAACTCCTTTGAGATCGACAAGCTCACTAGCTATTAAGCGCTTCTTGGACGCCTGCACAGAAGAATAAGGAGCAAACTCGGACTTAACGGCCGTCTTGATCATACTGGCATAGTTGGCCAAAACTTTGGTTAGCTGAGCCTGTGCCTCTACGATCTCTTTCTTAGCTTTGTTATCAGCAGTTAGTTCATAAAAGATAAGAACAGGATCGGTCGGTATAAGTTGAGCCTTCTTCTTTAGTTTCTGCACTCTATTTATGACCTCACGAGCCAAACCCTCTTCGAGCAATTCTTCGTTAGGCGTCATGTCCAACAGCACCAAAACCTCATTATCGCTGTGGGCCTCAAAGTTGCCGCCAACCTGCTCAGATGTGCAGTAAATGACGCGAACTTCATTAAGCTCAATTCTTTGATCCAGAATATCAAAGTAGCCTTGCGAAACTTGCTTCTGTATTTCATCATCCTTTAGTGCCTTGATAGCAGCCATAACCGCTTTAAAATTGCCCTTAAGCCGCTGTCCTAGCGCCTGTAAGAATATGTAATAACAAATTAGTTATCTTTAAACATAAGAAACACATTGTTAAACAAACCTTGTGGTCAGGCTCTGCTCTCAGTGTTACACCATATTTTTCCTTATCAGAGCTCAGCGTAAGTTTTCGAACATTAAGTTCGCTAAGAATAAAGTCCTGCAAGCTCTTGATAGCTTCAAGGACTTGCGTGTCCTTGTGAATAACAATGATCTCCGAAATAGGATACTTAACCGGCAAGGTTCTTCGATCCCGCATAACACGACCAAGCTCAACGACTGATTGCATCAAAGCTACCGAGCGCTCAATATCGTTTCGAATAAATGATTTCTGGCTGACGGGCATCATCTGGTAGTGAACTGAGTCAGCATGTTCCAGGGTTCCGGCTGGCTGGAACAATACCAGCCGCTGGAATATGTACTCCGTAAGGTACGGCGTGAAAGGAGCCATCATCTTAACCATTGTGTATAGAACATCGTAAAGCGTGTCAAGTGATTGAATGCACTGTTCTGCTCCCAATTCTCCTTTGATGCGACGGCGATTGAGTCGGACATACCTGAAAGGGAATACGCGTTAACTAAACTTTTAATCATTCAATTTTAATTAAATTTACTTACCAATTGGTAAGTTGATCAATGAACTTTGTCAGCCGGGGCACGACGGTGTACAGGCGATACATTTTCATCTCGGTGGCGAAGAACTCGAGTAAAGACTCCTTGAAAGACGAAATCCACACATCAATTACAGAGGCCTTGTCCATATTCTTCAAGTGGCGTTCACGATCATAAGTGTATTGTCCATTTCCTGCCAAATCCTCCTTCTCATATCGAACGATGTTTTGCAGCAAGAATCGGTATGCATTGTACCATGGCAGGAACACATCCTTGATTATGTCGCGCACACCTTCTTCCTTGAAACGCAGACTCTCGGCCCTTACGACGGGCGAATTAATAAGGTAAAGTCGGAGGGCATCCGCTCCATACTTATGGACCACCTCCATTGGATCGGGGTAGTTCTTCTTGCGCTTGGACATCTTCTGACCATCAGCAGCCAAGACCAGCCCACTTGCAATGAGGTTCTTAAATGGTGCCTTGTTAAACAGCGCCGTCGAAATCACAAGGAGCGTGTAGAACCAGCCGCGTGTCTGATCGATGCCCTCGGCTATAAAGTCAGCCGGGAAATTGTTCATAAAGTCTTTTTCGTTTTCAAAAGGGAAATGCTGTTGTGCGAACGGCATTGAACCTGATTCAAACCAGCAGTCAAAAACAGGAGCTATGCGACGCAGTGGTGGATTTCCAGGAACTGCCGATGGTATTTCAATGTGGTCGATACTTTCTCTATGCAGATCCTCAATCTGAACGCCGGAAAGCTCAGCCAACTGCTTGGTGCTGCCGATAACGACGGTCTCATCCCCACTAGGCGATCTCCAGATAGGAATCGGCGTGCCCCAGTAGCGATTGCGGGAGATCTAGATATATAGATTTGATTTTAAAAGTCCGCAAGGAGTTACCTTTACAACACTTACAGCCCAATCTCTTGCGTCTTTAAGCCAGTTTCCAAAACGCTTCTCCTTGACAAAGTCCGGCACCCAGTACGTTTGGGAACTGCAATCTAGCAGGTTTTTAGACATGTGCTCGACGCGTACAAACCAGGAAGGAACAGCCTTATAGATAAGAGGCGTGTCTGACCGCCAGCAGAATGGGTAGCTATGCTTCACCTGGCCACTGGAAACCAAGTTGCCTCGTGCCTTTAGTGCAGCCATGATTGGCTTATCAGCATCCTTCACGTATAGGCCCTCGAAATCGGTGGCCTCGTTAGTAAACCGTCCTGCATCATCAACTGGGCAGAGAACCTGACTGGACTTTGTGATGAGGCCTGCAGCCAGGCACACACGATAATCGTCTTCTCCGAAATAGGGAGCATTGTGAACAATACCCGTACCGGAATCCTCGGTCACGTAATCGTCGACCAGGACGCGGTAAGCCTTCACCTCAGCTCCACGATTCGCGAAATAAGGAAAAAGCGGCTTGTAGTGCAGGTCCTTTAGGGTTCTGCCCACAAATTTCTCCTTCACTTCGTACTCTGTCTCCGATTTGTACACGTAAGACAGACGACACTCTGCAAGCACAAAAAGACGATCGCTTTTTACGTCGCGCACTTTTACGTAGGTCATCGTCGGATTAACGCAGCATGCGAAGTTAGAGGGCAGTGTCCATGGCGTGGTGGTCCACACCAGGAGGAAGGTATTGGGCAGCGAAACGGTCTCCAGTGCAACAACAACGCAAGGGTCAACTACCTCCTTATAGTTTTGGTTGGCCTCGAAGTTCGAAAGGGATGTTGTGCAGGCGGTGGAATAGGGCATCACCTTAACGCCCTGATAGACCAGACCTTTGTCGAACAGTTGCTTGAAGATCCACCAAATGGACTCCATGTACCATGGATACAACGTCTTGTAATCGTTCTTAAAGTCGATCCAGCGACCCACGCGCGTCACCACATTCTCCCACTCATCTGCGTAACGCATGACAATCTTCCGGCACTCGGCATTGTAGGCAGCGATTCCCATCTTGGCCACGTCCTCGGGACCCTTGATGTTCAGCATTTTGTCAATCTCGAACTCCACGGGCAACCCGTGGCAATCCCAACCGAAGCGACGGTCCACATGGTATCCCTGCTGGTATGCGTACCGTGTGACGATGTCCTTGATGGTGCCAGCCAGGATGTGTCCGTAGTGGGGCAGTCCGGTTGCAAAGGGAGGTCCATCGTAGAATGTGTATCTAGAAGAGGGCAAATTAGCACGCACTAATCGCCAAAGTGAGTGGCTGATGCAATCGTCTGCGACACTTACTTGGGCTTTCCCTTCGATAGCTGGCTGCACTTTTCAAAGATATTGTCGTCTCGCCACTTCTGGAGTACATTCTCCTCTTCGGCCGGGAAGTTGATGTTCTCCGGCACCCGACACACGTCGTTCCGCTCTAGTTTTT